TTTTTTTTAAGAGGAAAACACTATTTTAAAAAGTCTTAGGAGGAAACCCAATATATACAAAACACCAAAGTGGTGTGCTCTGGACTTGAAGGAGTGTGGTATGTGTGTGTGTGTGTGTAAAAAATGATAGACAGAATGCCATCACTTTAGCCATCACTTTGACAGAGATAATGGCTGTACAGTACTTTTGTGGAGAACATACAACCAGAGTGTGAAAACCAATGACATAGACTTAATACAGTGATAATAACATACAGTCCACAAAATCATAGAATAGATCATTTCAAGGGTAATTAAGTACTTTATTGTTTATTTTAAATCACCTGAAATTTGAATCCTTCAAATTACTCTTTACCAATACTTCTGTTAAAATTCTTGCTTAATTACAGTCTCTCTTGGACACCACCATTTAGAAAGGTATTAAGATATTTTATTACAAGGGACTTTGACTCATTCTTTTTTCCCTTCTGCTTCTTCTACTTAAAGTCAAGTGGAAAATATCTTGATTTTTTTAGTTTCCTTTAGAACTAAAATTAAAAATATGAAGCTACCCTTAATCTCTATATCAACCGTTGCTTCAAACAACTAAAGGATGTTCTAATATGAATTCAGCTTTGATTTTCCATTCTTTTACTTGATTTTATTTCCTTCAGAAATAATTTTTTTCAGGATTCTAGCTTTAAAGCACCATCTTTAGAATTGACACATGGTGGCACTATTCTTAAATGGAATAGAAAAAAACAAACAAAAAACCCACACCATTAACATTTTTCCCACGATTGGTTTTGTCATAAAAAAGAAAATGCTGGACTCAATAAAGACCATCAGCAAGGGAGGAGTTAAAGCCTTTCAGGAATTGGTATGTGTGAAGTGGCTTCCTTCCAGACAAAAGGGAGTAACAGGGACCCTGGTGAAGGGAGTAAGTTCACCGCATCTTCCCTAGAGAAATTTAGATTCAATAAATGATTGCAGTACACATCAGACCAGAACGGCCAGTCTATCATCTCTGACCTACAGGCTGTAATCCAGAATCTTCAGAGAGACACCCGAGGCTTTTTGATTGGCTCCTCCTTTACTTCTCCTTCACTGTTGCTTTGTCCCATATCTCAAATCCAGTATTGGCCAAATTGAACTACGAGTAGTTTGTGGCCGATAACCATGTCTCCAGGCCTTTGTTCTACTCCACCTATCAGGATGCTATTTCCCACACAATTTACTAGACAAACATTTACTCGTTTTCAAGATGCAGCTCAAGGATGACTTTTTTGAAGGCTCTCCTGAATTTGGGAGGTAGCACTGATGCCCTTGTCCCCTGTGTGTTATTATAATAATTCCATTCTTCTATGATAGTACCTGTTTCAGTAGTTTGCACATATGCTTCTATGGCTGTCTTCCTCTTTTGACTATAACCTTCTCAAAAGTATGAACATGTCCTGCCCATTTTTGTATGCCAGCTTCTAGCACAAGTAGGAGGAAAATGAATGTTGAAGATAAAGTACAAAGATGAAGAAAGAAAAGCTAAAGTAAACCCCAAGATAGTGAGATCAGTTTTGCTGGATGGAAATCTACTTAATAGGTAATGGGACCTATATTTGGAAAGATAGTTTGAATTAAGATTACAAAATGTTTAAGTAAACCTAAGAAGTCTGAACCAGGAGACTATGGTAAGTAGAGCACTTTTGAAGATTTTACACTATTTACCATGGTGTAAATAGTGAGGAATATAGTACTAAATCATATGTAGCTATTAAAATATCATAAACTTTCCACCCCTATCCAAACGAAAGGAAAGGAGATCAGAGGTAGAATTAAAAATGAAATGACTTTGTGGTTTTTTTTTTCTTGTTTTGTGTGTGTGTGGTTTTACTTCCCCCCAACCCCAAAAGGTATTAATTGATTTGTCACTTCTTATCCAAGATAATTTTGTGATATTATAAAAATAAATAAAAGCACATTAAAACTATGTTTCATATGACTTTGGCTTTAAAGAAAATACTGAAGGTCTTTTCACAATGATTTTTAAAATATACTACAATGAAAAGAGAGCAAGTTTGGGTACTTATTATCATCAAGTTTTAAGTTACTTTATAACTACTATCTTTTTTTTTCTAAAATATATTTTATTGATTATTCACAGAGAGGAAGGGACTGGGATAGAGGGTCAGAAACATTGATGAGAGAGAAACACCAATCAGCTGCCCCCTGCACATCACCAACTGGGGATGTGACCGCAACCAAAGTACATGCCCTTGACTGGAATCAAACCCGGGACCCTTCAGTCCACAGGCCGACACTCTACACTGAGCCAAACTGGCCAGGGCTATAACTATTCTTAAAGTAACTGTATTGTCATTGAATAAAGTGACTAAGAAGTGACTGAAGGGGCACTGGATCAAGTATGACTTAAGGTCATACTGGGTTTCACTGAACAATACTCCAGTTGGAAGCAATCACTTCAAGAGACATTGCCCAACCCTGGCTGGGTGGCTCAGTTGAAGCATGGTGCTGTTCACTAAATGGTTTTGGGTCTGATTCCAGGTCAGGGCATGGACCTAGGTTTTGGGTTCAATCCCTGGTCTGGGCACGTACATGGGGTAACCAATCGGTATTTCTCTCTGTCTTCTCTCTAAAATCAATAAAACCATATCCTTAGGTGAGGATTATAAAAAGAAACTGCCCAGAAGCAAAATTCTTGGGAGGTTCAGATGCAGATTATATAGTCAATCCTTTATCTAAAGAGGATTAGAGCTCACCTGTGAGGGCAGGTGAGCAATAGAGATGGTTATCTAAATGCTACTTTGATGATTTCTTGCCTTTTAAAATAGTTTCAAATTGTATTTTCTATTCACAGATTCATAGCCAGCTCTGAGCAAATAAAGAAACTGCATTTTTCTGACACTTAGAAATAAACTTATACATTCTTCTGTTGTCTCTCTTTTTATCAGATATTGGGTGTTTTGAGCACTGCTGTAGATCCAGCAACGTTTTCCCAAGTGTAAAAATAACTGCATTATCGCAACAGCATTATTTATTGTGGGAAACATAGTAAAAAAAGGCTAAACAAAAATAAAAGGAGGCGGAATAAAAAACTCTAAAAAATTGGTATACACTTTTTTGTAACTTCTATCTCCTAACATAGTTTCAGTATCTTTCCATATTAATATGTATAAAATTTTAAATAGCTGCACAGCACTTAGATGTACCTACAGAATACACAACCGATTTCTTAGAACTGGGCATTTTGTTAGTTTTACTTTACTATTCTAAGTAACTCTGGGAGGCACATGAACACCTTTAAGGCTACAGTAATTTCCTTTTTTTCTGGGATTCCAGTAGAGTATGATGGCGTTTCTTCTCCAAAAGGGGATTATGTGGGCATTATCATTACAAAGAAAAGAGAGAAAATCCCCTTGTGACGGCTAGAAATGCGATCTCATCACTTTAGGGGCGCGTTCTAGATTTACTCGGAATCCCTGCGCTTGCGGGAGAGGAGATTCTGCAAGGGCGCCTCCCACAGCCTGACCTCCGCCAAGGTGACGCGGAGGAAGGACAGCCGCAGGAGCGGACTCATCAGACATGTGTCTTCACGCGCATGCGCGGGCTTACTGAACGCGCGTGGGCGGGCTTACGGGAACGCGCATGCGCGTACTTAGGGAACGCGCGGGCGCAGGTTTAAGTGAACGCGCGTACGCAAGCGCGCATTGTCGCCACCGACGTCGGCTGCACGAGTCGCCAGAGGACTTAGTGGAAGGTATTGGCTGCTGGGTTCTCTTGGTATTTCTCCCGTCAACCACCAAATCGGGTCGGGCTTAGATTGTGAGGGGGGAGTCTAATGACCTCTTTTCCTCTCGCCTGCATTCTTCGGGGGTGTATGATGGTGCTTGGGAGGCGGTGCGGAGGATTGGCCACACCTCTTTACTCCCCGCCCATGGCCTTCGCAGTCCCAGAAACTCTGGTTATCTTCACGTTTTGAAGATCAATAAAGTCCACTTACTCCCACCTCCAAGAATAGGCCCTGGAATGTGTTCAGTGCCACTGACACCAGAAATGCTATTTAGAATAAGGCTAGGTAATCCTGGAAAAGTATGCTTCCTGCAGCCCATATCAGGCTGAGTACCTTTATATTTTTCAGTGTAAAATTCGGCAAACTCATTAGTCACCAGAGCCAAATACCAACAGTACAACGATTGAAATTTCTTTTGAGAGCCAAATTTTTTAAACAAACAAGGATTGAATGAATCATCACTTCACCTCTTTGTCTTGAAATGTCTGAGGATACTTAGAGACCAAAAAGAAAGTTAAGTCCAAACAGGTGGTCTGATAGGTATAAATCAAAATTATATAGCCCTAGCTGGCTGGGCTCAGTGGATAAAGCGTCAGCCTGCAGACTGAAGGGTCCCAGGTTCATTCCGGCCAAGGGCACATGCCTGGGTTGTGGGCTCGATCCCCAGCAGGGGGCGTGCAGGAGGCAGTCGATCAATGATTCTCATCATTGATGTTTCTCTCCTTCTCCCTCTCTGAAATCAATAAATATATTTTAAAAGTTAAAAAAATTAAAATGACATAATATTATTTTCCCTGTGCTCATTAACAGCTCACACCAAGCACCTGAAAGAACACTTCGGATACTGTTTCTCCAGCCTTTAAGCTATTGAAACAACAGTACCTCCTGGGCGTGTTCTGCTCTGTTACTGGAGTGTATTTCTGATCTTCTGAATCTCAACCATGTTTTCAAACTGCTTGCAGAATATCATAAAAATTACAAATGCTCACCTTCTACATTCAGGATTATGCCACCAATTAATAAGAAATAAAAGGAGGTGTTTCGGAACTGTGCCAACATCCAGATTGCACAGGCGGGTTGTCGTTACAGGCATTGGCTTAGTGACTCCTCTTGGTGTTGGAACTCAACTGGTATGGGACCGCTTGATCCGAGGAGAGAGTGGCATTATCTCACTGGTTGGTGAAGAATATAAGAGTATCCCTTGCCATGTTGCTGCTTTTGTGCCAAGAGGTTGTGATGAAGGTCAGTTCAATGAACAAAACTTTGTGTCCAAATCAGATCTCAAGTCCATGTCTTCCCCCACCATTATGGCCATTGGGGCTGCAGAGTTAGCCATGAAAGACTCCAGCTGGCATCCTCAGTCAGAAGCTGATCAAGTGGCTACCGGTGTTGCGATTGGCATGGGAATGGTTCCTCTTGAAGTTGTTTCTGAAACTGCTTTGATGTTTCAGACAAAAGGTTACAATAAAGTCAGCCCGTTCTTTGTCCCGAAGATTCTGATCAACATGGCAGCAGGCCAGGTCAGCATTCGATACAAACTCAGGGGCCCCAATCATGCAGTCTCTACAGCCTGTACCACAGGAGCCCATGCTGTGGGAGACTCCTTTAGATTAATAGCCCATGGTGATGCTGATGTGATGGTGGCTGGAGGTACAGATTCTTGCATTAGCCCTTTATCTCTTGCTGGCTTTGCCAGAGCCCGTGCTCTGAGCACAAACCCTGATCCTAAGTTGGCATGTCGACCATTTCATCCAAAGAGAGATGGTTTTGTAATGGGAGAAGGTGCAGCTGTGCTGGTGCTGGAAGAACATGAACATGCAGTTCAAAGAGGAGCCCGGATCTATGCAGAAATTTTGGGCTATGGACTCTCAGGTGATGCTGGTCACATTACTGCCCCCGACTCTGAAGGAGACGGTGCCTTAAGGTAAACACTTTTTTTTTTTTCTTTTCATTCAAAATATTTATTCAAATAAGACATCTTATTGGAGTGTCAAGTGAGGGGAAATTGTACTGTCTGGCCTTAGTGTATGGTATCTCTGTTGTTTCATTTTAGACTAAACAAAGTGTTTTTGAGTTTTTTGCTTTAACATGTTTCAAGCATTTGAAAATATTTGAAAATCCTTACAAAAATTGTAGTCAATGTGTTTTTTTTTTTCCTCAAGGGAAAAAGTCATTTCAGATAAATGGAAATATATTTTGTTAGAGATTATATAATTGATAGGCTTATATGTTTATCTCTTGGTGATGAATCAGTCTAAGGTACTGGAGGTGACTCATTATTCCCAAGCAGATGGCATTCTAACTCACATGGTAATCTAACATGCGGTTCTGTTATTAGACAAAGGATTATTTCCATCCAGTGTACTTGGATATTTCTTTTATTTAAGCCCTACAGATAATGAATCCCATTTAAAATTAAACTTAGTTTTGATAAATTTCTGTTGTTATTTTACTAGATGTATGGTTGCTGCTGTAAAGGATGCAAACGTACAGCCCGAAGAGATATCCTATGTGAATGCACATGCTACTTCCACACCACTAGGAGATGCTGCTGAAAACAAAGCTATCAAACGTCTTTTCAAAGGCCATGCACATGCCCTCGCCATTTCCGCAACTAAGGGAGCCACAGGACATCTGCTGGGAGCTGCAGGGGCGGTTGAGGCAGCGTTTACTGCTCTGGCTTGTTATTATCGACAACTACCACCTACTTTAAACCTGGATTATACAGAACCAGAATTTGATCTCAATTATGTTCCACTGAAGGCACAGGAATGGAAAACTGAGAAAAGACGTATCGGACTCACCAATTCCTTTGGTTTTGGTGGTACTAATGCAACACTTTGCATTGCTGGCATGTAGGACAGGCAAATCATTTGTGTTTTTTAATGTTATAAACAAACTTCATGAAGTGGAGAAATACTATGTTTCTATAAATGCATATACTTTTATATCTGTGTCAGCGTTTCTTAGTTTTGCCACTACTGATATTTGAGGCTGGATAATTCTTTGTTGGGGGGAGGGGAGTTGTCCTTTACATTGTAGGATGCTATTACAATCTACCCACTAGATTGTAATAGCAGTCCCTTCCCCAGTTGTGACAACCAAAGATGTCTCGACATTGCCAAATGTGTCCTGAGGTGCAAAACAACCCCCATGTGCAAAGGACTGATCTGAGTTTTTCTAATACTTTAGATTAAACAACTCTTCATGATATTTCACCTGTCTCTTTCCAAAGCATTGGGTGAGTAGCTGCTCTATGCTAGGTGCTAGGTAAGGTTGCTGCACGCTACAACTCCAGACACACCATTTCCATGTAAGATATAGGAAAGGAATACATATATAATGAAATTTGTATGATTGATCAACATTCTTTGAATATAGCAGTTAGCTCACATAATCTATTTACCCCTTACCTATCTAGCTCTCTTCATATTATCTATACTAAGATTCTGAAAGAAGGAAGTGACATTGGTTTGGCATTTCTTATTCTTTTTGTATGGATGGGGGTACCTAGTGATTAATGGGGATAAGGGTTCTTAGGAAGTAGAACAGAACTTGGTGATATAAGCCATGCCACCTTATTCCACCTACAGCTATAATAGAACATTTTTGTGTTTACTTCCAACATTTCACCCCAAGTGCTGGGGGTACTTTTACTTTTCCACCTTGAGGCTTTCTCTAAAGCCGACAGATCTCATTCATCTCCATTGGCTGGAAGTGTTGGGAAGGGAAAGGATACAAATTCTCTAGAGCAGTGGTTCTCAACCTTCCTAATGCCATGACCCTTTAATACAGTTCCTCATGTTGTGGTGACCCCCAATTTCATTGTTACAAATTGAACATAATTAAAGCATAGTGATTAATCAAAAACCAATATGTAATTATATATGTGTTTTCCGATAGTCTTAGGCGTCCCCTGTGAAAGGGTCGTTCGACCCCCAAAGGGGTCGCGACCCACAGGTTGAGAACCGCTGCTCTAGAGGCTCAACCAGCTTCTGAAGGATGAGAGTTGGTGAATAAATGCCTCAGGTCTCAGTTACAACTTCTCAGCTCTGCCCTAATAGTGCAAAGGCAGCCACAGGCCATATGCAAATGAATGGGTGTGACATTTTGCTTGCAGGGAGGGAAGGAGCAGATTTGGCCAGTGGACTATAGTTTGAAAACTGTTCTAAATCCAAGGAAGCCCATTGACAGGTTTAGCTAGCTAATTTTCTGTCAGTGGGGTATCCAGAAATTTTGCCATATAAGATTGGAAAACTGGATTTCAGTCCTGGAATAATAATAATTATAATAACAATCGTTAATGTTTGTATTGTACCTACATTCCAGGCATTGTTGCAAGTATATTTCTTATAATCTTTTCATTTAATTCTCACAATTGTAATTTAGTAATAATGGTATCCAATTTTATGGATAAGGTATTTGAAATTTAATGAAATTAAAAAGCTAGTCCAAAGTTACAGAGTCAAACAGTGGCAGATAAAGACTCAAGAGTATCCTCCAATTCCAAAGGGCAGGCTCTTAACCTCCTAAGCATGCCAGTTGCTCAAGAGTAAGGATTGAGGCTCCCTACCAAGGGAGATCCTCTGGGGAGGAGCAGAGCTAACTCATTTCTGAGTTGGGAGAAGGAATGCATCTCCTTTCACCTCTCTTTTTTTTTTTTTTTAAATATATTTTATTGATTTTTCACAGAGAGGAAGGGAGAGAGATAGAGAGTTAGAAATATCGATGAGAGAGAAACACTGATTAGCTGCCTCCTGCACATTTCCCACTGGGGATGTGCCTGCAACCCAGGTACATGCCCTTGACCGGAATCGAACCCGGGACCCTTGAGTCCGCAGGCCAACGCTCTATCCACTGAGCCAAACCGGTTTCGGCTTTCACCTCTCTTTTTGTTTGAAAAAGAATAAAGATGTAACTTGCTTTGTTTATGCAGGTACTGACATATTATGTTAGAATGTATAAAGTCTGATAACCAAACCCTAGCTTGAAAATCAAAATGATCCTTCTCTAAGTATAAATACTAGTAATGTACTCTTTCCAGACTTAATATCTGTGCTTTTTTGTAATTTAAAAAATTCATCTTAATATCTTAAAGAAAGGACCTATCAATTTATAGGTAAAAACGTTGATGGTATATTTTACATTTACCATCAGATGGCATGTGATACATGCTCATTTTAAACAAGGCAGTGCAGAAGAATATAGGTCACCTATTCTCCATTTCCCTTACACTGGCTAACAACATTTTATAACCTCAAAGTAACTGAAATATGTATTGCCATTTTGATCTGGCCTAACTTTAGCAACTAACACATGAGAATTTACTTTATTGTTTCACTGGTTAATTACACCCAGACAAACCCTATTCAAGGTGGCCTGGTGGTGAAAAGCCCACCTGAAGATCTTGTATTCCAGAGTGATTTGGTGGAAAGATTTGGATTCAATAGACCTCATTTAAGTCACACTCACCCGGTTTCAGTTTTCTCACATGTAAATGGAGTCAGTAGCACTACTTATGCAAAAGACGGTTTTGAGCCTCAAGGTTGATCAATACACTAAGTGTAATTCTCTGTATAGAGTGGCTATTATGTTAAGAGATGAGTGTGGTCTTTTCCAAATTAATAAGTTGTCTAGGAGCTCGGTTGCTAAATCTGGGAAGACTTGATCAGTTTAGGATTTTGTTTTTATATCTCTACATTGATTATTATGACTATTAATATTAATATTGTGTCACCCTTGTAACCTGTTATTAAATGGTGAAAAGCTTTGCCAAGGTAAAAGCATTAGTGTATCCAGACTTTAGAAATTTCCCCTAAAATAATTGGTGTCAAGCATAGAAACGTTAACAAAGAAGCTTATGAAATGAGATGAAAGGTTAGAAAGCTGCCTGTCTTGGATGACTCAGGCCCACCCCTTCCCAGCAGCAGGGACTGTGGGGGTCGGGGGACGGTGGTGGAAGGGATTAGATGACCTCACAAGGTTCCTTGTAGTCTGTGGTGGGTTTTTTTTTGGTTTTTTTTTAAGTCTGTTTAAAGATTGCAGTAATACTGCTGATGTGAAATCCTTTGTACACAGTGATGGTTGAAAATACGGGCTCCAGACCTGAATCTCTGCCTGCCTGGTTCTAATTATATGCTTGAGATTAACAGGACTCAAATGCTCATGTTTTATACAAGCCATAGCGTCTTTTTTCTCCTCAAGAATTTTTTTAAAACTGTATTTTAGACTGAAGCTAGAGGGAGAAGGTTGATTTAAAAATGCATTCAGATACAGAAGGATTTAGATGATTTTAATAACTAAGCTTAGTTATCATATTGCAGTTCAGAAAGATGAATGAATAATAAGGTAGAATGCTAAGACCCAGGGGGTAATCCCTGAGACAGGACATCACTGGAGCAGCATATTAACTAGAAAAGAGTCATTGTTAGCAGAGAACAAATAATTCCCCAAATCCATAAGCATATGGTATGTCATAAGCAGCTTGTATAGTATTTTTCTTTTTTTTTTAATCTTTATTGTTGAGATTATCACATATGCACCTCTCCCCCTCACCCCCATAGCCCCATAGCTCTCCTCCACCCAGTTCCCACCCCACCCAGGCCCTCACCACCTTGTCTGTGTCCATAGGTAATGCATACATGCATATAAGATCTTTGTCTATTCTCTCCCTGCACCCCTCCCCACACCAACTTCCCTCTGAGAATCGTCGGTCTTTTCCATTTTCATGTCCCTGATTCTATTCCATTAACCAGTGTTCATCAGATTTTTTTATTCATTTGATTTTTAGATTCACTTGTTGATAGATATGTATTTGTTGTCACTTGGTTGTTCATAATTTTTTTATCTTTACCTTTTTCTTCTTCTTCCTCTTCTTAAAGAGTATCCTTCAGCATTTCATATAATACTGGTTTGGTGGTGATGAACTCCTTTAGCTTTTTCTTGTCTGTGAAGCTCTTTATCTGACCTTCAATTCTAAATGATAGCTTTGCTGGATAGAGTAATCTTGGTTGTAGGTTCTTATTATTCATCACTTTAAATATTTCTTGCCACTCCCTTCTGGCCTGCATAGTTTCTGTTGAGAAATCAGCTGACAGTCCTATGGGCACTCCCTTGTAGGTAACTAACTGTTTTTCTCTTGCTGCTTTTAAGATTCTCTCTTTGTTTTTTGCCCTTGGCATTTTAATTATGATGTGTCTTGGTGTGGTCCTCTTTGGATTCCTCTTGTTTGGGGTTCTCTGCACTTCATGGCCTTGTAAGTTTATTTCTTTCACAAGGTAGGGGAAGTTTTCTGTCATTATTTCTTCTAATAGGTTTTCAATATCTTTCTCTCTTCTTCTGGCACCCCCATAATACATGTGAACTCTCATGTATGTACATGAATAAAAATCTGTGAACCCGGCAGTCAGACATCCCTCTCGCAATCTGTAACTGCTGGCTCCTAGCCGCTCGCCTGCCTGCCTGCCTGATCGCCCCTAACCGCCTCTGCCTTCCCACCTGATCACCCACTAACTGCTCCCCTGCCAGCCTGATTGCCTCTAACTGCCCTTCCCTGCCAGCTTGATCGCCTTTAACCGTCTCTGCCTTGGCCCTTGCCACCGTTTTTTGTCCTGAAAGATGTCTGGTCTAATTAGCATATTACCCTTTTATTAGTATAGAGTATTATCACTAATGTGCATAAGTAAATCAGCAATAAGACTTTTGGAATGGTGGTAGTACAGATATATCAGTTAGCCTTCTAACTAACTAACTAGAGGCCTCCACCTGGTATCTTTATGAAGCTTTATCTGCCAGGGAAAAAGATTGTTTTTCCCCCTCTAACTGGAAGCACCATGTCTTTCTGCAACAGCTGTGTGACTTCTGACAATCCTGGTCAACTGTGTCCCAGAACAAAATGAATCTGGTTGCCCTGAATATCATTCTGTTTCACGATGGTTGATAGAGATTC